TGTAACATATCATTCCAACTGATAAATGAACTCTAGACTAGCGAGTTACCATTTCAAAATTGCTAGAAGCTTATTCACCTGAGGGAAATCCCTGGGAGATGCTGAAAACACAGCTATCTAGGAGAGAAACTACATCTAGGTTGGTTTTTTTCTCAGGCTGTAGGCATGCCTGGCACACACTGATTGCTGTTGCTGGGATCGTGCGTTTCCTACACCAAGAACTGGAAGCTCTGCTGTTTCCAAAACAGATAGACAAGCGTCTAAATAGGCTAGTTACTTTGCACAATTAAGAGAAATAACGAACTTTGTAAGTCAACATAAAATATCGCAGAATCTGAATATTCTAGTGTTAACATAAGTTTTACTTTGATATGGTGAAATTTTTCATGCGAGTGCTACGTTTTATTTTATTTGTGAGGAAAGAGGAAGTTTATAGAGAACATAACTATTACACTTTAGGAATACGGTTGCCTTGCCTTGAAGGTATCCTTGATTGTGCAGCGACGAGAACTTTGCATCTCCTCCTCTCTTTTAAAGTCTAATTGAACTTAAGTAGGAGGATGAAGGCGTAAGGTGTAATTTGAATAGCTAAGTTTGGCTTCTAACCAAATGGAATTTGTGTGGATGTGCTTTCGCAAGTTCAGTATGTCACTCTGTAATGCATTCTATGGAAAATATGATAAATATTTATTTGGCATAAGTTTGGGATGGTCCTGTTAGGGATCAAAATCTTTTATAGCCACATGCAAGTGCCAGTAACACTAAGAGCATTATTATGCCTGTTATTTATTTCATATTTTGTGAGAAACTGTTTGTAGGAGAATTTCGTAAGGGATGTTTAACACAATTTCAGTCTGTAAAAACTGGTACCTTGTTTGAAATCTTAGACTTATGGGAAAGGCTAATAAAATGTAAGTAGCTTAAACATCAGGTAAAAGCGCTCTGTATATAAAACCAAGTAGTCCAGGAGACTGATCATGCAGTAGACTTTTTGAAGGGATATCTGTATGGTTGCATATAGACATCATTTTTCTCGCTGGTCATGGAACCAGTGAAGCCTCGCTGCCCATATAACTGTGCTTTTGTTGTGTACACTCTCCTCTTACCTCAGTACCCAAACTCTATTTCATGTTCCTTATGACTCTTTTGGGCAGTGTATGCTGCGGATAGTCCTGAGTTAATGTTTCTACTGATACTCATCCGTCAGGAATGATAAAGGTCTTGTTGCTTCTGCCCTGAGACAGAAGAATGGACCGTATGGAATCTGAAAGTCCGTTTCTTGCCTTTTTTAAAAAAAATTAAATTAAGCTTTTGTTCATAGCTTTATTCAGAACATGTTTAAACAGGAGGGGTTCCCATAAAAATTGAACTCCTTTTGGGTATCTTCATCTTTATCTGTACTCGGTAAGTTTGCAAGCTTAGTCTTTTCCACTAACATCACTGCTCCCCTCTTGTAATGGATAGTGTGTGCCACCTTTGTCTAAATTCATAGGCTGTTCTTCTTCAGAAGCATTAGGGCAGAAATTCTAAAGATTCCTCCTTTCTGCAAGGCAAAAAAAATCCCAACCTCTAATATTATTTTTTTTTCTGTTTTAATATAGATCTAATTGACACTAAAAAAACTTCAGTCATCGCTGTGAGAACCCTTGTAAGTATACCTCCGTGTGTGTCAGTTTGTATATGAGTATGTTCAAAGGAAAAAGCCAAGTTTGTCTTTTTGGGACTTACTAAGTCTGATTTCTGTTAAGAATTACACCTGGTTTTTGTCAAGATAGAAACACTTTAAAATATGACAATTGTGTACAGGTTAGCTGTTACCTGTTTTTATAAACACTTTTTAAAGTATTTCAAACATCTGAAATTTCAAAATGAAAGAAATGCAACCTTTACCTTTTGCTAATGTGTACAGTAACATAACTGGCAGCAAGTTAAAAGTGATTTCAACAGGGTGCCAGTTTTAGGACAAAACAACCATTCTTTCCCATTAAGACCTTTTTATCATTACTTCATTATTTCAGGCAGTATTTTAAACATCTTAATGAGTTTTTTTAGCATGTTAGAAAGTTGTTCCAGTAAACTGTAAAGGTTCTTAAGTTAGTGTTTAACACTGAGTTGAGTTTTGTTGCTTAGCTTGAAGATCATCTCGCATTCTGTGCATGTAGAAAGGTTTATTAGGTGACATCAGTAGGATGTAAGTTTTCAAACACAGTCCTCTTCACGCAGTCTTACAATTTATTCTGCAACCCAGTTCAGTTTTAAAGACTTAGTATTGATAATCAGTAATAAAATGTGAATTGGATATTGCGAAATACCCGTTTAAATCATGAGAGTACTGTTATAACTCATTGTGTTGTTGGCACCTCATCGGTGCTTAGACGACAAGAGCAGGTCCCCATCATTCTACATATGGTAAAACCAGGGACAGCTCTTACCCTAGACTTTAGTTCAATTCACTGTTGCTCAGATGCAATAAGAAAGAGTGGAATATAACAGTGGAAAAATGAGATAATTGCAATAAGTGTATATTAATAGATACCATTAGTCAATATAGTTTTAATTAGAAAGTAGTAAGCAAATCAATGTGTGAAAATATGATCTTCAGTTCTTTGTATCTGTTGTGATAACATGTACACAGAAAATACTCTGAAAATGTTGTGGTGGTTCAGTGTTATACAAGCTGCTGAATAGCTTGGATATAATTTATAAAATTAATGTACAGGAGATTAAATTGAATGGAAAAGTTAGTAAATGTCTTTTTATAGCCTCGGTCAGTCCAGAACACTGCCTAAAGAATTCAAGTAAATATGACCCCATTCCTCTCCTCCCATTCCAAATTAGTCCGTTCTTGGTTATTAGCGAGTAGTTTTTTATCAGTAGGACTACTTCTGAAAAAGCTACTACTCAGCCAGAAAAAATACTGTCTCATTACATTACGTTGTCTGCATTAGTCTAACAAGTCTGATTTTTATCCAAGTCATTGTGTCTGGTCATACGCTTTTTGCCGGAAGGTGAAGAGCAGCGAGAGTTCTCCGTGGAGTTTATTTTAATGTGTAGCATTGTGTCTAATCATGGGCATGCACTGAGGTTTTCTGACTGCAGTCTTAGCGCTATGGCTGGCTTTTGTTTTAAATACAAGCTCAACTGCTGCTTTCGGAGCACTGAATTAACTGGAATGAAAATATTGTACAAGATTTGTAATATAAACCGGTAAACCTTCATTTTCGAGAACTGGAGCTTAGCGAAGTAGAATGATACCTCTTCTGGTGAGGTTTGACTGTATGCTGAGCAGTTGATAATGAGGTTAACTAAAAGCAGAATAAGAAGAAGCATTTTGAAAAGAATGTAGCATTCACTTTTTATAAAAAGAAATATGCAGAATACTCTTTTTCTGAACAAGTTTAAGCTTAGTTTAGTACATTTTACTGTGACTCAATAGTAATTTTATTCTATAGGTTTAATTTAAAAAATTAATGGGGTGATCATGTTATTTTAAGTATCTGCAGATCTCTTAATCTTACATTACATTAAGTGCTGTTGATATTGGCTACAACACAACTGCGGATATTGGAATTCTTATTAAAAACCCCAACAACCTATTCATAGATTTTTGTTATGCTGGTAGTAACAGTTGTCTTGTTTAACCTGAAATGTTAATTGTAGCCTTCCTCATCACCTGAGGGTGGCAAAGATGTTAACAAAGGTACACTTTGAGGTGTGCCCACGTTCTTTTAATTCTCGATAGAGCCCTGAAATTTCCCTGTTCTCATCCGTTCTGTTGAGCAGCTTCTCTCCATGAAAGACTGGGCTTTGCAATAAGCTGCTCAGCGCCACTCACTCCCCTCCCTGTGTGCCCGAGGTACTGCTCTTTCCTTGGTGCACCTTTTGTTTTTCCTGCTGCGTGCACTGTTCACGCCGTGTTTGCGTGCCGTGTTTGCATGCCATCCAGATGAAGATAACAACCTGTATCTTTTGCCTGCCAGTGCAGACTGGGCTAGCACCACTGGGCTAGCCACAGCGGTGGTTTGCTATGATGCCCTTGTTTTTCTCCCACTCACCTTCGGTCTTTATTTAGGCCCAGTTCTCGTGCAGACAAAATCTTGCCAAACTGTGCTTTATTTTAAATTGGATTAAATTGGTCAAATTGGATTCCATTTTCCATACCTGGAATGCATTGAAGTAGTTTTTGGAGGAGGAAAAGCAAATCCCTTTCCAAGAGTCTGACATTCATAGTTAGGAAGTAATAGATTAAAAATTCAGTTGCTGGGGCAAAGTTAATAAAGCAGTTTTGGAATATATAGTTTTTAGATTACAACATGTAGACTTTTGAGGACTCTGTATCGAGATACACTTTAATCTGAATATAAATTGATATAATATTCTGAAAAGCAGTAAAGAAATCTACTGTATCTTTTCTCTGTAGTACAAATATTTAGGGGGAAAACAACTGTTGACCTTTCCTATAATTATGCAACTGTAGCATTACTCAAGTAGTTTAAACACAATATTATGATGTGAAGGACAGACTTCATCCCAACAGCCCTGAACTATTCAAACAGAGATAGTGGGGAAAAGCCTTTGAAAAGTAAATATTTGTGGATGCAACAAACAAGTATGGAAAAGATTGATCCTCTTTCATCTTCAGAGCAGTAGGCTGCTGTATCGTGCAGTGTACATGCCTCAAATCAGTTACTTCAGTCTCCTTTGTCTTGATGCATTTGAAGTGAACTCTTAGAAGGACTAAAACTAATGGATTGACTGTAATATTACTAATTTAATTCTTTTTTTCTTTTTTTTTTTCCTGCTCTCTGCTTGGCTCTGGTCTTCACCCACAGGTGTCCACTGTTGGCTCTCAAAGGTTACTAAAATTTTAGCAGCTGCTCTGAAACAGAACTACCTTAGCTTGACTTACTGTTGCTTCTTCCTACACCATACTGCACTGCTGCTTTGCTCTTGCCTGCTTCAGAACACAATAAGAGAGTCTGCTTTTTTAAATACCTGCGATGAAACTTAGGCTAGAAGGATATGCCATTCTCTTGCTGCCTGTGTACTTGATAATATCTCTGTACAGTATGCTTGTATTTATTCCATGGTATTTTCTTACCAATGCTAAGAAGAAAAAGGCTATGGCAAAGCGTTTAAAAGCTAAACCCATCTCGGACAAACCTGGAAGCCCCTACCGTTCTGTCACTCATCTTGACTCACTAGCAAACATAAACATTCCTGGAGCAGACACGTTGGACAAGCTGTTTGACCATGCTTTAGCGAAGTTTGGGAAGAAGGACTGTCTTGGGACCAGAGAAATACTGAGTGAAGAAAATGAAATGCAACCAAATGGAAAAGTGTTCAAAAAGGTAAAACTTACACTTTTGTACTTAATTCTGATTTGGTTTTGAGCTGCTTTGCATCTTGCCTCAACAGTGCAAGTCTCCTTAGAGGTCTTCCTTAATCATCCTATCATCCTCTTATGGTATAAAACATCTATTTTATAGTAGTTAAAGAATAACAGAATACAGGATGTACTATTTATTCTACTTCAAGAAACATAAAAGTGATTTTTTTTGTTTCTTTTAATGAATGGCAGTGTGTGTGCTTACAGTGTTATGGCGATAGAGCTGTACCGGCACCTTCTTGTTATCACAATTATTTTTTTTTCACCCACCAGTTAATTTTAGGAACTTACAGATGGTTATCCTATGAAGAAGTAAATGAGAAAGTGAATCGCTTGGGGAGTGGATTGACTGCCCTGGGACTAACCCCAAAGAGTACCGTTGTCATATTCTGTGAGACCCGAGCAGAATGGATGATTGCAGCTCTCGCCTGCTTCAAGTACAACTTCCCTCGTGAGTGCTGAACTTGTTTACTTCTAATGTACTTTAGAACCATTTCTCAGCACTGGTTTGGCTGTTAAGTATTTTGAATCTGCCAATCCTGTCATTGATGGTATAAGAATTTCATAAATTTCATCTGCGTACGGTCTGATTCTTGAAGTTTCCAGTCTATTCTATGCATTGCAGAGATCCCTAAAATTAACTTGCTCATACTTATGAGACTGTTTTTTCTGATTTTATTGTAGTAATGTTCTAGATGTTAGAATGACAGAACAGTATGGTTATTATTCCGTTTTTTTTTTTAAATACTCTGGAGATGTCAGTAGTTGCATTTCTCTCCCAAAAATGTGGAATGCGTTTATAGTATTTTCTGTCTGTATCCCGACTTATGCATGCAAAAGAAGAAATGGTTATCGGAAG